TCCCTGGTACCAATTTCTGCCTTAGTTAGGTTTTGGTTGCCATGAAGAGACACTATGACCACAGCAACTCTTATAAATGAAAACATTTAATCAAAGGAACTCACTTGCAGTTTCAAAGGTTTAGTCCATTATCATCATGGCAGGGAGCATGGCAGCATGCAGAAAGATGTGGTGCTGGAGCTGAGAGTCCTTCATCTTGACTCAGAGGCAACAGGAAGTCGACTGACTGTCACACTGAAGGAAGCTTGAGCAAAGAGACCTCAAAGTCCACCCCACAGTGATACACTTACTCCAGCAAAGCCATACCTCCTAATAGTGCCACTCCCTTTGGGAGCCATTTTCTTTCAAATCACCACATTTGCTAACTAGTCTAAAATAGTCAAAGCAAATGACCAGATTTAGTGAGTATGAAATTGTTATCTGGAGTGACTGAGAGTTGAGGAAGAATTATGTCAAAAAATGCTCTCATTTGTGGAACTCCTAGAATATTATTGAGAAGGCTGCCTTCTAAAAAGCTGAAAGCTGAAAGTCTGTTTTTTGGCAGTAACCTTAAAAAGGAAGTCTAATTGGTCTCTTCTACCTGTTTCTCTAATACACACAAAAAAAACCTTTACCCAGTTTGAAAATGCCTGAATATAATATAATACTGGGAACTATGTAAACGTTTTACCAATACTGACATACAAACTTAAGTTCTATATTTTAGAACTAAAGTTATATATCTCTAAAATATGCCATCATGTACTTTTTTTCAAAGTGAATCATTCTTTACTTAAATGTTTGCCCAGGTAACATATATGTTTATTCCCTAGGTAGAATATTTTTAGTATAAGTACTATAAAAATTGCACTGAAGAATGAGCACATTTATTTTCTGCATCTTGTTAACATTTGTAGCGTCCTCTGAAACTGCAGAGCAGCACAGCCAGAAATAGAGCTCGTTGCTCACTGTCTCTCTGGTGTCAGAAAGATGGTAGTGGGACATTAGCCTGTGTCCTCCCGCTTGCTTTCTCCCTTCTTCAATTGGGGTTATAAAGTTGATACTAAGTTGTTTGGTTGTTTGTTTTTTTTAAGATTTCTTTATTTTTATGTGCCTGAGTGTTTTGCCTGCTTGTATGTTTGTGTTTCATGTATGTGCCTGGTGCCAATAGAGGCTAGAAGAGTGTTTCAGATCTCCTGTAACTGAAATTCTGGACGGTTGTGAGCTATAATGTCATATAACTCCAGGTGGTGGGGATGGAACCCAGATTCTTTGGAAGGGCAGGTAGTGCTCTTAAACACTGAGTCATCTCTCCAGCTCCCTAGTACTAAGTTTTTAAATTTAAATATAAAAATAAAACCCTGAAAGTACAGTAGCTAACATCTAGAAACATACAGTCTGGTGCAGGAAGCAAAGAATTATCACCAAAAGAATTGTTACAATATTAGTAAGTGGTTAAGACCCCAAATAGTTACCTGAAAGGCACTTGCTTTAGTAACAATGGGCACGATGCCTAATTTTGCCAAGCATCATTTCTTCATGTATACAATGAAGATAGAAACACCAGTCCTGCTTAGAATGTTTTATTGATGAGCAAATAGGATAGACATTTACACAATTTAAGAGTTATGAGTAGAGCTTAGGTGTAATTCAGTGGTAGAACATATGCTTAGGTATTGCCACACCCCAAAAATAAAAGTTACATGCTATTAAATATTAAGTTATTGTTACTACTATTACTAAAGCCCATCTAGTAAGAAATGAACATTATTTAATACATATCTGAGATCTTCTGGGTGTTATTTTCTTTCCTCTTAGGCCCCTGCGTTAATTTTAGTCCCTAATTTTTTCTCCATGTTCTTTTTTCAAAGAGTTTCTGGATTCCACAGCTGGTTTCTTTTTTAAAGTTGTCACCACCTACCTCATCTTTGGTTTCTCCTTGTTTACAAAGACTGGCTGAGATACAGGAGCACAATTTTCTTGATTTTTCATTTTATTAACTGCCTACCCTGATCCTACATTATCCATTTCTTTTGTTTTTTTTTCTTTTTTTCTTTTTTTTTAAATTTATTTATTTATTAAAAATTTCCACCTCCTCCCATTTCCCTTTCACTCCCCCTCCCCCCTCCCTCTCCAGTCCTAAGAGAAGTCAGGGTGCCCTGCCCTGTGGGAAGTCCAAGGCACTCCCCGCTCCGTCCAGGTCTAGGAAGGTGAGCATCCAGACTAGGCTCCCAAAAAGCCAGTACATGCAGTAGAATCAAAACCCAGTGCCATTATCATTGGCTTCTCAGTCAGCTCTCATTGTCAGCCACATTCAGAGAGTCTGGTCTGATCACATGCTCATTCAGTCCCAGTGCAGCTGGCCTTGGTGAGCTCTCATTACATCAGACCCACTGTCTCCGTGAGTGGACGCACCCCTCGCTGTCCTGACTTCCTTGCTCATGTTCTCCCTCCTTCTGCTCTTCATTTGGACCTTGGGAGCTCAGTCCAGTTCTCCAATGTGGGTCTCTGTCTCTATCTCCATCCATCGCCAAATGAAAGTTCTATGGTGATATGCAAGATATTCATCAGTGTGGCTATGGGACAAGACCAGTTCAGGCGCCCTCTCCTCAGCTGCCCAAGGACCTAGCTGGGGGCATCTGCTTGAACACCTGGGAACCCCTCTAGAGCCAAGTCTCTTGCCAATCCTAAAATGACTCCCTTAATTAAGATATCTTCTTCCCTGCTCCCATATCCACCCTTCCTCCTTCTCAATCATCCCATTCCCCCAAGCTCTCCCCAATCCTCCCCTTCTCCCTTCTCTCTCACTATTTCCCCTCCCCACTACCCTATCCCCACTCCCGTGCTCCCAACTTTTGCCTGGCGATCTTGTCTACTTCCAATATCCAGGAGAATAAATATATGTTTTTCTTTGGGTTTGCCTTCTTATTTAGCTTCTCTAGGATCACGAATTATAGGCTCAATGTCCTTTATTTATGGCTAGAATCCACTTATGAGTGAGTACATACCATATTCATCTTTTTGGGTCTGGGTTATCTCACTCAGTAAAGTGCTTTCTATTTCCATCTATTTGCATGCAAAATTCAAGATGTCATTGTTTTTTACCGCTGAGTAGAACTCTAAAGTGTATATGTGCCATACCTTCTTTATCCTTTCTTCTATTGAGGGGCACCTAGGTTGTTTCCAGGTTCTGGCTATTACAAATAGTGCTGCTATGAACATAGTTGAACAGATGCTTTTGTAGTATGATTGGGCATCTCTTGAGTATATTCCCAAGAATGGAATTGCTGGGTCCTGAGGTAGGTTGACTCCCAGTTTCCTGAGGAACCGCCACACTGATTTCCAAAGTGGTTGCACAAGTTTACATTCCCACCAACAATGGATGAGTGTTCCACTTAGTCCACATCCTCTCCAGCAAAGGCTATCATTGGTGTTTTTGATTTTAGACGTCCTGACAGGTGTAAGGTGGTATCTTAAGGCTGTTTTGATTTGCATTTCCCTGAGCGCTAAGGAGGATGAGCATGTCCTTAAGTATCTTTTGGCCGTTTGAACTTCTTCTGTTGAGAATTCTCTGTTCAGTTCAGTACCCCATTTTTTAGTTAGGTTAATTAGAGTTTTAATGTCTAGTTTCTTGAGTTCTTTATTTATTTTGGAGATCAGACCTTTGTCTGATGCAGGGTTGGTGAAGATCTTCTCCCATTCAGTAGAATGCCTTTACAACTGATTACTATGCAGGAAATCAAAAGTGCTAAGTATGGGGATTTGACTTCCAAAATTCCCAGTTCCCCAAAAGTGTTCAATGTCATTTATAATTTCATTTTTCCAGAGGACTCCAGAGTGTATAGCTCTTCCCTGGTTTCACTTTAGTTTGAGATAGGATTTCATTCTGATAATCCAGGCAGGCCTACTGTATAGGCCAAGCTGGCCATGAACTTGTGATCACCCCCCATGCATCCACGCGTTACAGACCTGTGCCGCCACTCTCACTTCTCTTCCTCAGTTCTCAGAGCTGAGTCTTTTATTTCTTCACCTTTTCTAGTTCCTTTTTCCTAATCCTTTTCCTTTGTGTGGTTAAAAAAAAAAAATCTTCGTTTTTTTCTTAAGGAAAGTTTAGGTTTCATTTTCTAATTCATCTTCTTTTTTATTACAAAATCCAGACCTCCACTTAAGCTTACAGAAATAAAACTACACTTCATAGTATTATGGAAATTGCCTCCTCAGGTTCTTTCTTTTCTTTGGCAATAGCCACATTCAAATTATAGGACCAGAACATGAACTAAGTATAAAACCCTCCTGGGATATGTTTTATTCTTTTAAAGTTATTACTAAAAGTTCAATAATTTAGACTTTACTGTTCTTCATCTTTTCATTTCTGGGGTTATGAAAATGTTCCTATTCATGTATAGTTATTAGTAAGACTAGATAAAATTCTAGAAGACCTTTCAGGTTTTAATTTAATTAAAATCATTATTCTTTAGCATGCCACTTACAAATGATATGCAAAGGATTAGAACTGAGAAGAATTGAATAAGAAAGACCTGTGTCTCTGTCTTCTTCTATCAGGTTCTTTCTACTGTATTAATTTCTACTTAGTTGTTGTTTATTTTAATCATATATTTTATTGTTATTTGGTGTATGTGTAAACATGAGCTAGGAAATAAGTAAAGTGGGTAAAAAGTATGAGGAATAGAGGGATCGTAAAGGGACTGTTAGTACTCTCTGGCAGTCCATAAAAATATGCAGATACGTTTTGGGTAATTCTCAAATTTTAGCATTGATGAGCCATGTTCTTGGTGCCTTGGCACTGGTGTATAAATTTGTTTCATTTAAAGAAAGTGTTAAATGCATGTAAGATGTGATTGTTTAATGGTTTTGGTTATTTAAACATTTAGGGGTAAAAAGGACATAGTAACTTTGAAAGATAATGTTAGTAGTATTCTCATCTACTAGTGAATTTTTAATCATAAACAGATTAATGTTTTATTTTATTTTTTTAAATATCAGTATTCTTTATTTTTCAGCTACGTTGACAAATTATTCAGAAAACATGGAGCGTACAAAATATGTTGGGGAAAGTGGTAAAGAATTAGGATCTGGAGGAAACCTAAAACCATGGCAGTCGCAGAAATCCAGCATGGACTCCTGTCTGTATCGTGTAGACGAGAATATGACTGCCTCCACATACAGTCTGAATAAGATCCAAGAGAGGAATTTGGAAACGGTTTTATCCCAATCAGTACAATCTATTCCTTTGTATCTCATGCCTCGACCAAATTCAGTAGCAGGTAAGTTGTGTTTTGTTTTTCTTGTTTAAGACTATTTTGCTGAATATGTAGTGAACAGAAATACGACCAGTCTTCCATTTGTGTTTCGGTACCTTATGCCTTTGAACCTAGGAGAAGGTTCATCTTTTTCATCAAGTGGTTTCCCAGCTCTCCTCCCATGATTTGCAGAAACATATAACAAAATCAAAAAGCGGGCAAATAAACTAGTTAGTCTTATTGTTTGTAAAAATTTTAAGGTCTGGGTGTGTAGCTGAGTAGTTTAGCGTTTACATAGTATGCATAAGGTCTTGGATTCAGTTCCCAGTACTGCAACAAAAAAGTTTTAGTTTGAAGTTTAAACTTTTAAAAGTTGAATTTTAATAACCATTATTTAATTGGAGCATATTTTGGCAGTTTGAATATCAGAAATCATCATCTATTTTTTGAAGATATAACAAATGAGCAGGCAAGAAACTCAGCTTCTTTTTTCTCCTAGTTCAGAATTTTCACAAAACCTTTACAGGCTTAATTTAGAAGACCAGGTACCTTCATTTCCTAACTCAAATGCCACTCGCAGGATCAGTGAAAAGAATGATGCAGGAGGATAAGTAACTGGAATACCAAGTCTTTTTTTCCTCAGTAACTACACAGGAGTAATGTCAGGGATATTTTTAATACAGCTATGTTGTTATTCAATAATTCAAACCAGGAATTTACAAAAATAGCCATTCTGACATTTTCAAAATGTATCATCATCTGCACTTTGTCCAGACTACAAAATAAAAATTGTCTTTGCCTTTCCCTCTTTCTAAATTAATGCCCAGACAGATCTATTTCGTGATATGGAATAATAAAACATTTATTACCATTAGACTTACTTTCCAGGGATATTATTAGTTATTCAGTCAGGTGTAGTGGTGCCCATCTGTAGTTCTAGCATTCTGGGGGTAGAGACAAGGGTCAGTAATTGAAGGCCAGTCTCAGCTACATAGTAAGTTTCATACCAGCATGACGTACAAACACAGGACTCTATTGAAAAACAAACAATGAAATTGTTTGCCACTCATTTTCTTTCTCTGCCTGTTCTTTTGGTTCTAAATTCTGGAAAAAAATACCAGCACCTGTTACCAGGTATGATGATGAGGGAATGACTTACCTAGAAGATTCTTCGCTTTTATATGGCAAATTTTCTCTCTTAAGTCCCACTAAATATATTGATCTTCATTTAGATGTGGTTCCTTTCATATTGCAGCCAATTGTGTGTATATTACCTACCCCTCTTCATGTTGCCTTGTGAGAGTTTGTGTTAAGGACCTGAAACTACTTTCAGCTACTCCTTTTTTCTGAGTGATAAACTTATATTTCTGACCCTGAAGTTTTTTTTTTTTTTATTCTTCTTCCACCATCCAGGGTCATTAAGTAGAGTGAAGTATGAGAACTTTCACTGTCCATTATTATGAAATACCACATGCAATCATAGCCACAAAATTAGAAGGATGGCGTTGCCAAGCATTGATGGGATTGTGATGTGATAAAATGACTGCATATTAATGATGGGAGTATGTTATACATTGGTATTATTAAAGCTAAGTATATATTACCTAAAACCTAGTGATTGTACTCAGAATGTCCGTGAAAAATAGGTGTTCACAAACAATATTGCTTACTGGTTGAAGAGCAGTCAGTTTTATTCCCATTGTTAATGGTGCTGCTTTGACCATGAGTGTATGAGTATGTCGACATACATGTTTTCATTTCTCTTAGGTAGGTACTTAGGAGTGTCCTTGCCATTCTTGTTAGATTTTGAATTTAACTTTTTAAGAAACTGCCACATTATTTTACAAAGTATACCAAGTGACTATGCCCTTTTACATTCCTAACTGGCAAGGTACTAGGGTTTCTGTTCCTCTATGTCCTTTCCATAATTGGCATTTGTTTTACCTTTATGATTATAATTAATGAATGTAAGGTGATATTTGATTATGGCTTTAATTTTCAATATGTTAATGCTTAATAATACTGAACTTATTTTATGTACTTACTAGTACTTACACATTTTCTTTTTTTTTTTGAAAAGTAAAAGCATACTTTAATCATAATCTAGACTAGCATGCAGACACAAAGAATGTTATCCAATGATGCTATCTATACACTGTTTATACAGAGACAAGCACATAAGCCAGACAGACAGTCTTTACTGTCTGTTAGTGTAACTTCTGTATTTGAATACAGTGGTATTGGAGCTAAGCCTCAGAACCCCAGAAGAAGTTGTTAACATCAATATGTGCTCTTGAGTGTTAAGAAAAGCAAACTCCTAAAAGCTGTCAGACACAGATATGAGACCCTGACATGTAACAGCCCCTTAGATAGTTTGTTACCTTGAAATTGTTGTTCCTGGCTCCCTCCAGAAGGCCTGAGAGAAAAAAAAATCTAGACAACTAACTTTTTATTCGCTAACTCTTACATCTTAATTTAACCCATTTCTAGTAATCTCTATATTGCCATGTGGCAGTGGCTTACTGGCAAGATTCCAACTGGTGTCTGTCTCTGGTGGGGCTGCATGACTTCTCTCTGACTCTGCCTCCTTTCTCCCAGCATTCAGTTCTGTCTTCCCTGCCTACCTAAGTTGTGCCCTGCTATAGGTTCAAAGCAGTTTCTTTTTTTTTTTTTTGGTTTTTTATTTATTTTTCCCCATTTTTTATTATTTATTTATTCATGTATTTATAAAAAATTTCCACTTCCTCCCCTCCTCCCAATACCCTCCCATTCCCCCCACTCCCTCTCCTCCTCCCTCTCCAGTCCCAAGAGCAGTCAGGGCTTCCTGCCCCTTGGGAAGTCCAAGTTCCTCCCCTCCTCCCAATACCCTCCCATTCCCCCCACTCCCTCCCCTCCTCCCTCTCCAGTCCCTAGAGCAGTCAGGGCCTCCTGCCCTGCGGGAAGTCCAAGTTCCTCCCCCCTCCCTCCAGGTCCAGGAAGGTGAGCATCCAAACAGACCAGGATCTCAGAAAACCAGCACATGCAGACGAAACAAGACCCAGCGCCATTGTCAATGGCCTCCCAGTCAGCCCCCATGTCAGCCACATTCAGAGAATCTGGCCACACATTTTCTTTAGTGAAATTTCTACTCAGACCTTTGGCATAGCTTTCGATTGAGTTGTCTGCCCTCTTATTGAATTTTAAATATATATAATTTTTCTAACTATAAACATTTGTTTGCAAATATTTTCCCCCTTTGCTAATCATCTTTTAATTTTTGTTGATATATTGTAAAGCACAAAAGTTTTAATTTTGTTGAAGTCTACCAAAATTTTTAGTGGCCATTGATCTTTGGTAATATCTTTTCTTCATTTCATTTGCAGATGTATTGTTTATATATTTCATATTATAACACTAGTCTCTCTGTCATTTGAGTTTGTTTTGATTCAAGCTTGGAGAATATTTCTTTCTTCTACATACTTTGTGTTCTCACTTTCCTTCTCCTCAATGTTAAAACAAAATTCTATTATCCTTAATCATTTTGCCAGGAGGTCAAAGCAGTGTCATTTTAAGTCTTTCTAGCTAACATAGCTCTTTGGCTTTTGAGGGAGGGCTGATCAGACATCTTTAAAGGAAAATGAAGACCAAATGAGATGGCTCAACTGGTATAGGCATTACCTTGCCTAGTTAGATCCATAGAACCCTCTTGATAAAGGGAGAAAACCAAATGTCACAAGGTGGCACATATGGACACATATAATTCACTCAATAAATAGTGAATAAAATTACAGAAAAACATGAATGTACCATTAGAGACCAGATAGGTTGAATCTGAAGAATTAGGCTCTTATACAGTTTAAAAAGTTTAAAATGGTTTTAGAATGTTCCCACAGAGACAAGAAAATGAACTGTGAACCAAATGAGTTATTTTCAAACATGGATAGGATAGACTGTAAATTTAAGATATTTCCAGAATTTGAGGAAATAAAATTACTTCCATAGGGAATTACCCTGCGAAGTATATAATATATAAGAATCTCATAAAACCATGAAATCTGGTAGTTAAAATAATATATCTAAATTAGTTTTCTTAGCTTAGAAGTCTCCCATCTTTACATTTTACCTTTGTCTATATACATACATATTTTCATACACTTTTTAATATGTACATAGAAATGGTTCTGCAAACTGAGGAAGGTAAACCTCTTTGATAATCAAGAATAACTGAGAAGCCAGATGTGATAACACACACCTTTAATCGCAGTACTCAGGATACAGAGGCAGATGGATCTCTGAATTCAAAATCATACAGCACCAGTCTAGGACAGCAAGGGTTGCACAGAGAAACATTCTCTCATAAAACAATGTAACCGAGGTTTTCAAATAGGAAAAAATCAAGGGTATTTATTCTTCTTTGTTTTATCAAAATTTCATTTTGCATACAAAAGTAGGTTTTATTGTATTTTTGTATATAATTGTACTTTGCCCATACTCATTCTTCATGAACCTCTCTCATCCCTGCCTTCCAGTGGTTTCTTGTAATCTCCAGAAATGGTCTCCTTCCTGCTTTCATAGAAAATATTTTTAATCAAGATTCTTCATAAAAGAGAAAACATGCAATATTTGTCCCTCCCCTATTTTCTCCTCTTGTTCCCCACATGCTTATTCAATTGTCTTAAACATAGAAGCCCCCAGGAGTCATATAGAGAGGGGATTGATATTAGAAATAAAAACTTTTGTTTAAATACAACTTCTTAATTTCCCTTCTTTTTTAAACTTGGTCTGAGTAATACAAAGAGATCAAATAATGTTGAATAACAGTGTAAAAAGCTGCACTGACTGCTTAGTGTGATGGGTCACCTGTAAACTCGGCACTTAGGAGGTTGATACCGTTAATGGTCAGTTTGTACCAGGCTGGGAACACATTTAACAGAGCACTGTCTTTACTTAAAAAAAAAAAAATTAAGATACCATTTGCACCACTTTTAAAACCGGCAGTAGTAATCTCTTAAGTGATTCTTGCTATGTTATATATTTCTGCCCAC